TCCCTAGATCTAGACACTATGCTCCTATTGATGCAGGCCAAAATCCCATTGGCTTTTTTTTTGCCGCCACATGATATTATTGGCTCATGTTTAACTTGTTGTCCACGAGGACCCCAAGTTTACATTTAATTCTGCTTTAATATTTGTAAATTTTAAATGGTTTATTCTAACACAAACAATATACATGCTAAGAAAGGATCTGTGAGTATTTCATTTGAAAGCACCTGATTCTTCCTCAATAGCCTTTCAAATGAATCCTGACCACCATTAAATAATCAGGTTGTTTGAAGGACAAGTAAATTGAGTTATGTCGAGAATAATGAAAAGTAATAGAAAACAGAGGAGAATTACAAATAATTCACAAAAGCGTAGTTGAAGTGATCCTATACTTTTGGACAGTCTTTCTCAACATGACCGTTTCTAGACATGTTAAATTACCAATATCCCTTGGAAAATCTTGATTACTTTCTAGTCAGGAGAAAAGATCAAGGTTGGGGGAGGTTGCTTTAAAGCATAAGAGCAATGCTAAGTGGGAATGACTGTATTCCCCAGGGGCTGCGGTGGAGCAATGGGTTAAACTGTTGTGCCGGCTGAACTGCTGACCTGAAGGTTGGCGGTTCTAATCTGCGAGATGGGGTGAGCTCCCATCTGTCAGTTCTAGTTTCTCATGCAGGGACATGAGAGAAGCCCCCCAGCAGGGTGGTAACACATCAGAGCACCCCATGTCTTTGTAGACAGCTGATTCTCTCACACCAGAAGCAACTTGCAGTTTCTCAGTTCACTCCTGACAATTTTTTAAAAAGTTAAGTCATGCTAGGAGAAAAGGTCTAATGCGTTAATGAGTGACTTACCCAAATCTGGATGATACTGCAATTCTTCACAAAAGTACTTGTTGAAATTTGGAGAGGAAGGAGGTTTGCAGGCTGATGTACTTACTGGGTGGAAGTATGTTCTGCTTCATAGTAAATTCACACTCTCTGTATTTACATTTCCTCATAACATCCGTGTATAAATAATTAGTTTTTATGACACTTCCATAAGGCTCTCCTCTTCAGGAGTAAAGAATGATGAAAGCCCCACCTCACTTCCACAAAAGGAAAGAATGGACACAATTCCAGCCATATGACATCCTTAGTATAAAGTAATTGTTGGGAGAGTGGGTTTATTAACAAAAGCCCCTCCCCATGAATGTACAGCAGAGTAAGTTATTAGCAGCAGCTTGACCCAGCACTAGTAGGCCAAAGTGATAAAAAGAACAAAACCATACAGATTAATGTTCTCTCTTCCTTGGGAGACTTTTCTTTATAGCAAAATAATAAGGTTGCACTATCTACAAGAACAAGGTTTCAATGACACGGTGTCCAGCCTCTACACTAGAGCATCACACACGACAGCCTTCTCATACTGAGGTTTACCTCACTCCCCTGAGGACAACAATAGCTTTGGCCCACTGAATCTAACAGGCTTGGCCTACTCACTCTCCTCAGGGCAACACTAGCTTTGGCCTACTGACTCTTAACAGGCTTCGGCCTGCTCACTCTCCTCAGGACGACACTAGCTTTGCCCCACTGACTCTAACAGGCTTTGGCCTGCTCACTCTCCTCAGGGCAACACTAGCTTTGGCCCGCTGACTCTAACAGGCTTGGCCTACTCACTCTCCTCAGTGCAACACTAGCTTTGACCCACTGACTCTAACAGGCTTTGGCCTACTCACCCTCATCAGGACGACACTAGCTTTGGCGCACTGACTCTAACAGGCTTCGACCTACTCGCTCTCAACAGGACGACACTAGCTTTGGCATACTGACTCTAACAGGCTTCGGCCTACTCACTCTCCTCAGGAAGACACTAGCTTTGGCGTACTGACTCTAACAGGCTTCGGCCTACTCACTCTCCTCAGGAAGACACTAGCTTTGGCGTACTGACTCTAACAGGCTTCGGCCTACTCACTCTCCTCAGAACGGCAGTAGCTTTGGCCCACTGACTCTAACAGGCTTCGGCCTACTCACTCTGCTTAGGACGACACTAGCTTTGGCCCACTGACTCTAACAGGTTTCGGCCTACTCACTCTCATCAGGACGACACTAGCTTTGGCCTACTGACTCTAACAGGCTTCGGCCTATTCACTCTCCTGAGGACAACACTAGCTTTGGCCCACTGACTCTAACTCACTCTTTCCGTGCTTGACTCACACTTTTGTAGTCAAAAATATCCAGTTAATTTTTATTATTTCTGACAATAATGTGGTCACCACTCTTTACAGTTCAAGAATGGCTACCTGAAGACGAGAGAGCCTCGTGGAAGTAGATTGCCTTTGACCAAGAGAGACCCCTCACAACTATCAATGAGTGAAGCCCTTACATGGTTTTGTGGTAAGATCAACACAGAAAATTCAAAAAATACCACATTCAGCAAAGGATAAGAGGGATCCTCTCACCACTGCAGGAGTCTCCATATACTGTACAGCTATGGACAAGAAGTCTACATAGGGACCACCAAACACAGACATCAATCAAAGGGCACAAAAGGCACTGAAGACTCATTCAACTTGAGAAGTCAGACATAGCAGAGCACCTGATGATAGTATGATAGCTGGGTCCGGAAGCTCTGAGCGTTATGCACATTCTGCAACGGTGGTTGTGAATAAGGGAAAGGGAGAGTGACACCAAAGGCAGGAATATACTTCAATTTGGTGGAAGGCTAGAAAGGAGGGGAGGGTTAGGACAAAGTTTAGGGTAAGGTTTAGGGTTAGAGTTAAGATTAGGGTTTGGGTTAGGATGAAGGGCTAGGCTTAGGGTTTAGGGTAAGGCTTAGGGTTTGGGTAAGGGTCATGGTTTTGTTGTTCTTAATTCGTTCAGTTGTTTCCGACTCTTCGTGACTTCATGGACCAGTTCACGCCAGAGCTCCCTGTCGGTCGTCACCACCCCCAGCTCCTTCAAGGTCAATCGAGTCACTTCAAGGATGCCATCCATCCATCTTGCCCTTGGTCGGCCCCTCTTCCTTTTGCCTTCCATTTTCCCCAGCATAATTATCTTTTCTAAGCTTTCCTTTCTTCTCATGATGTGGCCAAAGTACTTCATCTTGGCCTATACTATTCTTCCTTTATTTCTTGAAGTATGGACTGGTTGGATCTCAGAACTTTCCTCCAGCACCACAGTTCAAAGGTATCTATCTTCCTTCGCTCAACCTTCCCTATGGTCCAGCTCTCACATCCGTAGGTGACTACAGGGAATACCATGGCTTTAACTATGCGGATCTTTGTTGCCAGTGTGATGTCTCTACTCTTCACTATCTTATCAAGATTGGTCCTTGCTCTCCTCCCAAGAAGGAAGCATCTCCTGATTTCCTGGCTGCAGTCTGCGTCTGCAATAATCTTTGCACCTAGAAATACAAAGCCTGTCACGGCCTCCACGTTTTCTCCCTCTATTTCCCAGTTGTCAATCATTCTTGTTGCCACAATCTTGGTTTTTTTGGTGTTTAGCTTCACGGTCTTACCATTAAAGAATTCTTCCATTCCTTCTATAATATCTGTGTTCCGTTCTGCGTTGCACATACAGCACTCCCGAAGGAGCGAAACAGAAACAGCGTAAGGCTCTGAGCTTCTGGACTCAGCTTTCATACTATGATGAACCAACCTGGACACAGAATATTATTTGAGAACACAGAAATGCTGGAGCATTCTGACAAGCTTTCTGGCTTCCAAAGAGTTAAAGCAAAGAAGGTGGATTCCTAGAGGGGAAGTAAATGGCCAATCAGAGGCCTCCTGCAGGTAAGGTTCCTCCTCTTCTGGCCACTCTTCCTGGAGGAGGAGTGGCTGGGTGAGCCTTGGGAGGTTTCCTGACTTGGGGAGAGAGAGAGTGCCTTCCTTCCTTCCTTCCTTCCTTCCTTCCTTCCTTCCTTCCTTCCTTCCTTCCTTCCTTCCTTCCTTCCTTCCTTCCTTCCTTCCTTCCCAGAGGGGGCCATGGCTCTCCTGCTGCCCAGGTTGGAGCCTGGCTGCAAGGAGAGGCCGCAGGAGGGAAGCCAGCCCGGTGGTGCATCTTCAGGCCCAGCAGAGCCAAGCCAGGACCCTCCGCCTGCCTTTCCTGCTGCTGCTGCTGCTGCTGGGAATGGAGGGCAGTGGTGGGGAGGAGGAGGAGGAAGCCTTCTGGTGGGGAAGGAGGAGGAGGAGGAGGAGGGGGGCTGCGAAGGGGAGAGCCCCCACCACCTTCAGGGGCAGAGCGCCAGAGCTTCAGGCAGTTCACCTACCAGGAGGCCTTGGGGCCCCGAGAGGCCTGCAGCCGCCTCCACTCTCTCTGCCGCCTGTGGCTGAAGCCCCAGCGACACTCCAAGGCGGAGATGCTGGACCTGGTCATCCTGGAGCAGTTCCTGGCCGTCCTTCCTGCCGAGATGGAGCGCTGGGTCAGGGAATGTGGGGCAGAGACCAGCTCCCAGGCCGTGGCCTTGGCCGAAGGCTTCCTCCTGAGTCGGGCCCAAGAGGAGAAGGAGAAGGGACAACAGGTGAGAGAGGGAAGCTTATCCCCACGCTTCCAAAAAGCCAGGAACGCTTGTCATGAACGGAGCCAAACTCCAGATCCTTCCCTCTCCTCTTTCCCTTATTTTCTGATCATTTTTACTGGTGTCCCTTTGGTGTTTTTTCAGGCGGCGGACTTGTGTGCAGAAGTGGCCTCCGCCTGGGAAAGGCCTCCCTCCACCTCCGTCCGGATGCCGGATTGTGCAGGACAAAGGGAACCTCTCAGCTCCACAAGTAAAGACCCAGCGACATTTGGGTGGCTCGACTCCACTCCTTTGGGGTCTATGTGGCTCAATGAACGTATATATGTTTGAAAGGGATCCAGATCCATTTGGATACACAGGTTCTCTTGAATAAGAGTAAACAGTACAATCAAGCAGTGCCTTCAAACAAACAGTACAATCAAGCAGTACAATCAAACAAACTTCCTCATTGGGAGTGTAGTACCCAGGCATGTGAGCAGCATTGGATGGTGGCTGGTTTTACATGGCAGCACCATCAACTCACTGCAAACCAATCTTCACGTTGTGCATAAGTAGCTGTTTTTGCACATTAGGGCTGCTCAGCATGCATTCAGTCAGTTTTCCAAAGCATTTTCAGCCCTGCAATAATGTGCAATGACTTTGAGACCACCGACATGTATTGTGGATGTGTTGTGGCTGTTCCTCCTCTGCACTGCTGTTGCCTGCTCCCAGTCTGCTCCCATTGCCATTACTCATAGGCAGCCAGAGAAGAATCATAGAATCCTAGAGTTGGAAGAGACCTTGTGGGTCATCCAGTCCAACAAGACAACAGGTCCACTATTACAATAGTAGAAAAATACCAAGCACTACCCCTTCCTCCAAAAGCTCTTGTTCAAGTAGAGCATATTGGGTTGACACTGGTATATTAATCTCAATGCTCTGGGCAGATCTTGCATTCCTGGGCATAAATAATCATTCATCTTGAGTTGTTTTTTTGGCCGGAGGGGAACAGCTGTCATCAGTCTCTCACTTTCTCTTACTAGGAGTCATTTCTTCCTCCAGCGTCTACTGATAGTTTCATCTGGGTCTTGGTCTCTCCCACACAGTTATATTCCACAACAAGGTAATGGCCAATAGCCACAAGTAGAACTTATCAGAATCTTTAAAATCTAGTACTTAGTTTAAAAGATTGTGGGAGGGCGTTTGTGGCTGTCTAGTCAGCTTGACTCACTATTACCAAAGCAAATAAAACAACAGCAGGGCTCTGTGCCTCAACCTGGCCAAAGGTGAATAAATTGGTAATCAGTCTGGATATCATGAATCCCTATGAGGGGCAGCTTAGGGAGCTGGGTATGGTCAGCCTGGAGAAGAACAGGTTAAGCGGAGAACATGTTGAAAGGATGCCATATGGCTATACATATTGCTATGCTCTTCCCATGGTGAGAACCTATTTTAAGTGCCCAATGGGTTAGGTACAGTTTTCTCAATATCCACCAAAAAAGCAGGGGCAAGGGGGAATAAATTCCTCAAGGAGCCCAATGGGGATCAGGGTGTATAAAAGGGCTGAAGTCTCCAGGATAGAGGTTGTTGCTGATGTCAACTGCTCTCAAAGTGGCTTTGACTTATGAATGAAAGGCCGCAAGGTACCCTTTTCTATGAATGGTTGTGAAAGCTGCACAGTGAAGAAAGCTGATTTGAAATGTGCTGGAGGAGAGTTTGGTGGATGCCGTTGGCTAAAAAAGCAAATACACGGGTCCTAGAGAAAATCAAGCTTTACTTCCTCCTAGAAGCCAAGATGTCTGAACTGACATAGATGCAATGTGGCCATATCACAGTGCTGACTAGAAAAGACAGTAAGTCTTAGTAAGAGAGAAGGCAGCAGGAAAAGAGAGAGATTGAATTACAGGAGGGTAGACTCCACCAAGGGAGCCCTGCCTGTCGAAGACCTGAGCAGATCTGGCTGGGAGGTCCCTCTTTCACAGAATCTCCATCAGTCAAAGCTGGCCTGAAGGCACTTGCCAACAGCAACAACAATGCCTCCAGACTTGATCAGGTCTTGCCTTTCATGACTGAATCACAGAATCATAAAATAATAGAATCCTAGAGTTTGAAGAGCCCACAAGGGCCCTCCAGTCCCAACTCCCTGCCAGGCAGGAATACACATTCAAAGCACTCCAAATGGATGGCCATCAAACCTGTTTATAAACCTCCAGAGAAAGAGACTCCACCGCAATCTCAGGTCACAACATACTCCATTCTTGAACAGCTGTTACCATTAGGAAGATGGTACCAACAGAAATGGAGACCATGGCCAATAAAATACCCTTGCCTTTTGTATTCCTACAGGAGGTGAATCTGAACCAACACATACTGGCTTGCTTCTTCTTTTTGATGTACGCAGCACACCTTCTGTGACACCAGATCAGGTAGGTGATTAAATCCCTGATGGGCCTAGAAGGTCTCAGGCTTCTGGCATTCTCTTTGCATTGTCATTTTCACCTCTTTCCACCCAACATGCCTGCAGCAAAGTCCCTGCGTGAGGACTGACATTTAATTCAGCCACCAGAAGCAACTGGTCTCTGTCTGGGGTCAGCGTGTCCTGCTTACCAATCATGTTTCTTTGTCCAGGTAACCTTCCAAGAGGTGGCCATGTCTTTCAGTGAGGAGGAGTGGGCCCTGCTGAATTCGGACCAAAGGGCCTTGCACCAGGAGGTCATGGATGAAAATCTGGAGACTGTGTCCTCCTTAAGTAAGGCACCCTCTTGTATAAGAAAGTATTAGTCACAACATGACATAGCCATAATGTCACTTAAGGGGGGGGGGGGTCAAAGGACCAGGTTAGGCATAGGTTTACAGCAGGATACAATAACATTAAGTTTACCATTAAACTATAGCATCTTTCTGTAGGTCTGACATGATGTGTGTGTGTGTGGGGGGGGGGGGGGCAGAAATACCTAGGTGTCATGTCTGAAACCAACAGTGTTGAAACAGCTTGAAAAGAAACAGGTTGTTTCCATCATTTTGTACAGCAGGTGTCATTTTTTCCGTTGTTGTTGTTGTTGTTGTTGTTGTGTACCTTGAAGGTCTTTCCATTTTATGACAAGCCTTATATAAACCTATCACAGAGTTTTCTGGGGCTGAAACTGTGCACCCAAGGTTACCCAGTAGGTTTCCATTACTCAGCAGGGAATTGGATATAGTGTCTAGAGGAGCCATAACCCAATGTAATTTTTTTTCTGTGTCAGAATCATCTCAATACCGGGACTGTGGAGAGAATCAGGAGCTGTGTCTCTCTGGTCAGCAAACAACAAGGAAGTCCTTCAAGTGCTTGGAGTGCGGAAAATGTTTCTGTCACAAGCAAAGCATGGCTTATCATCAAGCAACGCACACTGGAGAGAAAGCATTCAAATGCTTAGAGTGTGGAAAGTCTTTTATTCGGAAGGGACATCTCACTTCTCATCAAACAATTCACTCAGGGGAGAAACCCTTTAAATGCTTGGAGTGTGGAAAGTCTTTTATTCGGAAAGAACATCTCACTTCTCACCAAATAGTTCATTCGGGGGAGAAACCCTTTAAATGTTTGGAGTGTGGAAAAAGTTTCACTCATAAGAACATCCTCACCCGTCATCAAGTAATACACTCTGGGGAGAAGCCATTTAAATGCTTGGAGTGTGGGAAAGGCTTCATTCACAAGATTAACCTCACCAATCATCAAGCTACTCATACTGGGGAGAAGCAATTTAAATGCTTGGAATGTGGAAAGGGCTTCTTTCAGAAAAGTCATCTGACTTACCATCAAGCAAGTCATACTGGCGAGAAACCTTTTAAATGCTTGGAGTGTGGAAAGAGTTTCCCTTACAAGAGAAGCCTCACCTATCATCAAGCTACTCATACTGGGGAGAAGCCATTTAAATGCTTAGAGTGTGGGAAGTCTTTTATTCTGAAGGCACATCTCACTTCTCATCAAACAGTTCACTTGAGGGAGAAGCCATTTAAATGCTTGGAGTGTGGAAAGGGTTTCACTCAGAAGACAAACCTCACCTATCATCAAGCTGTTCATTCTGGGGAGAAGCCATTTAAATGCTTGGAGTGTGGAAAGGGCTTCATTCGGAAGATACATCTGAGTAATCATCAAACCATTCATACTGGGGAGAAGCCATTTAAATGCTTGGAGTGTGGGAAGGGCTTCACACAGAAGGCAAAGCTCACAGAGCACCAAAGAATCCACACTGGGGAAGAACCCTTTCAATGCCTGGAGTGTGGAAGAAGTTTCAAACAGAAGGATAGTCTACGGCGTCATCAAGCGAAACACGTGGGAGAGAACGCTTTAAATGCCCAAGTGCGGAGCGAGCTTTTGCCAATAGAAATACCTCATTTCTTTTACCTCATCCCAAACTATGATGAGACTGAACTTCTGCAATAGAGAGAGAGATGACTTTAAAATAGTATTTCTTTGTTGTTGTTTATTCGGGAATTACTGGATTTTTTTTCAAAAAAATCGCTCTGAAGAAACAGGCTTCTTTTGATTAAATATAAAAAAAAGAGTTCCCGAAAATAAGAGGGAAGACAAAAACAGGTTTCCGGCTGGACAAGACTCGTGGCTAGGAATATGAAGTATGTGTTGGGACACCACTTTTTCTCTCCACAAAGGAGACTCAAAGCAAGCTGTTCTCTTTGCTCTTCTTCGATGAGCATGGAAAGATGTCTGTTGTGGCTTAGATGGATAGCTAGGCCGTGTTCACTGTTCTTTGGGCAAAGTCTTCTATAACTTGTTAAGCTTGACTCTGTTCCAGGATTGCTTAAGTTCAGTCACTCTATTGCTGGCAACAGAAGCTTCTTATTTGCTGAACTGCTGCTGCTACAGCCGTTGCTTTTTAAATGTTTTGTCTCCAACATTCTAAAGTGGGTGAAATATATATCTCAAGCAACTTATATAATTAGGTTCGAATAAAAACTTTTTCAGTTAGATCTTTTTTGGTGGAAGAATATGATGCAGAAATAACTAATTTATCTTGAATGAGAGATAATGCAAATATGCTTGAATGGTTTTAATTGTGAAGCTTTTAATACTGGTTCCATTTATTTCTGTTTCAGTATTTGTATATTTTTAAATGGTGTGCTAGCACTTTTATGTTAAGCTGCTTTTGAGTCCCCTTCAGGGGAGATAAAGCAGGGTATCAATAATTTTAATAATAATAATAATGCAGTGCCTACAGACCTTGGCCTGCACTTAAACACAATCAGTACTGACAAAATTACCACTTGTCAGCTGCAAAAGGCCACCCTACTGGGATCTGCACGCATTATTCGCCAATACATCGCATAGTCCTTGACACTTGGGAAGTGTCCGACATGTGATCCAATGCAACAAGCAGCATAGTGATCTTGTTTGCTGTGTACTAATCTTGTTGTGTTTCAAATAATAATAAATTAATGAATAAATAAAGTGTATTGAAGTGTTTCTTACCAATTCCTCCATTCCATTTTTCTCTCCCCCCCCCCCCCATCTGTCTTTATAGACCACACACCCTATTCTAACACAAACAATATACATATATGCGAAGAGAGGATCTTTGAGTATTCCCCCTGATCCTTCCTCAATAGACTTTAAAACAGTGGTTCTCAACCTGTAGGTCCCCAGGTGTTTTGGCCTGCAACTCCCAGAAATCCCAGCCAATTTACCAGCTGGTTGGGTTTTAAGGAAGTTGAAGGCCAAGATATCTGGGGACCCTCAGGTTACAAACCCCTGCTTAAAAGTTAATACCGACCACCATTACATAATCAAGTTTTTTGAAGAGCAAGTAAATTGAGTCCATGCTGAGAATGAAGAAAAGTAATAGAAAACAGAACAATTATAAATAATTGACAAAAGCTTAGTTGAACTCATCCTATACTTTAGGACAGTCTTTCCTAATATGACCGTTTCTCTCAGTTCTTGTGGGTTTTTTCGGGCTATATGGCCATGTTCTAGAGGCATTTCTCCTGACGTTTCGCCTGCATCTATGGCAAGCATCCTCAGAGGTGAGGTCCCAGAGGTGAGGTGATGACCGTTTCTATCTCCCCTTCTCTTCCAAATTTGACATCTTCAGTCTTTGCAACCTAAGGTTCTTCAAAAGCAAACTCGTCCGCTTAGACCACAGTTGTGGTTCTACACGGGGGCCTCCCAAATGTCACCGTGGTTCCTGTGTGAAGCTTTATGTAATTAAGCCTTACAATCTATGGTCAATTCTAGCAGCCAAACTTGATTAGATTTGCTTGTGGTTCCTTTTTGCAGCTCTGAGATTTGGGGACTAAAGTTTGGGGCCCCAGCAAGCATAGATTACTGCAACGCATTCTACGTGGGGTGGCTTTTGCAGACTATTTGGAAGCTTCAAGTGGTCCAATGGGCAGCAGCCAGATTGCTCACTGGAGCAGCGTACAAGGAGCATACAACTCTCAGTGGTGGCTCCT